GAGACAGAGTTTGGGAGTGTGTGTGTGTGTGTGTGTGTGAGAGAGAGAGAGAGAGAGAGAGAGAGAGAGATTATGTGTGTGTGTGTTTGCTATTTACCTTTTACTGAGCTAACAAATAAATGAAATCATGATTCAGTTAATCAATTTCATGATTCAGTTAATCAATTTCAAATAAATAAACAAATAATTCCCAGAAATCCAGAGAATCTTTTGTCTTCTTTATTCCTAAAGTAAAAAAAAAAAAAGTTTACTTTTTTAAAAGTACATGTTTAATATGAATGTTTTTGGCTGCACACTTTTTGATTTCGATGCAGTTTTCTGTTAACTTTTTAAACCCCTGTGAATAATCTTGTTTTGTTGGGTCGCTTTCAAATCCCTAAATGAACTGTGTTACCGGATTAAGCTAATCTGTGTTAAATGAGTACTGTGCGATGTCCGAACTGATTGCACTATATTTTATGTATAATCGTTTTCTATTCTTAACCGTTTTAAATTCATTTTAAACCTCTTAAATCAATGTTTTAATCATTTTCAAAGTTTTTAAATTCCTTGTTTTATTGTTGTGATTATTTTTTTCTTTTCTTTTATGTAAAGCACTTTGAATTACCATTGTGTATGAAATGTGCTATATAAATAAACTTGCCTTGCCTTGCCTAGTTTACCATTTGTTTTCCTGTTTGCAAATACTAGATGAGCTGTGTCCTCAAAGTGCACTGTGCTTTGAATTGCTGAATGTTGTTTTCCTGTGCTGGCAGCGTGAGGAGAAGTATGGAATGAACTCGTCTTTAGAGCATCGTTTCCACATGCTGCAGGAGATCTATGAAGAGACCAATGCACTGCTGCACATCCATGGATCACTCATCTACGACATGCAAACACAGATTCGCAACCTCACTATGATAGTAGAGCGTGTGAGGCGCAATCCTGGCTGTATGATCAATATCATCCGCACAAGCCCGCTCCTCGGCTCTCAAGATACCCTTCACCCAGGTCAGCACGACTAGGTACTGAAGATTTTGAAAGTGGTTATTTGATCATTAAAGGGATAGTTCACACAAAATTGAAAACCTTGTCATCATTTATTCATCCTAATGTCATTCCAAACCCATATGACTTTCTTTTTGTCAATCAAATGAAAGTCAAAACAACACTGAACCCCACTGACTCTCATTATATGGATGGAAAGAGAAAAAAAAAAAACAGACTAAGAATTTTTTTACAATCTTCTTTGAGTGAGTAAATGATGACAGATATTTAATTCTTGTGTGAACTACTGCTAATTAAAAAGTATAACTCAAATAAGGAAAAATAATACTACAAGGTCATTGGCATCTCAAAACTCATACTGACATATTTGGACATTTTTAGCAATAGCTTGATTTGATTAAATATATGTTTCCTCAGAGGTTCAGCATGTACGAAACTGTCCAATTGACTGTGCATCCCTGTACTACAATGGAGTCCATAGATCTGGGATTTTTACTGTTGTCCCTTCAATGGGATCGACTCCCGTAGAAGTTTATTGTGATATGGAGACCCAAGGTTTGCATTTTTGTGTTTATAGACAGGAAGTTTGGGTTAAATTAGGAGCATTAGTGGATGATACTTGGGATTAAAGAATCATTCTTTGGACCAGGAGGTGGATGGACTATGTTTCAGCGTCGACAGGATGGAAAGGTCAATTTCAACCGCAAATGGACAGAATATAGGGATGGCTTCGGAGATCTGCATGCAGAATTCTGGCTAGGAAATGACCATATCCACGGTATCTCCAGCCAGGGAGAGTATTCCCTTTGCATTGACCTCCAGGACTGGAATGGCAAGCTCAAACATGCACTGTACCAGAAATTCTGGTAAACATTTGGAAAGATTAAGTTCTTAGAATATTTCGAACACTTACTTATTTTTTTATAAGTAATATTAAATACTATGAATAAATTTAAATTAATATTTTAATATTTAATAAAAAAATGTTAATCTTAAAATCAGATATACTGTATTAATATTAAAATGTCTGACATATTATAAAATATTATATATTTAATACAGTAAGATTAAATTACATTATATATAAAACATAAAATACTAAATACATATAAATATAAATTATTTAAATATAAAATATTAATATTAAATTAATGCAGGTTTGATTTTTTTTTACCTGATCCAAAATGTTGCATCATATTGTTTTCATCTCTTAAATGTTTTTATGAGAAAATCCTTACAGATGCTCCAATATTAAAGGAATAATTCACCCAAAAATGAAAATTTGCTGTAAATTTACTCACCCTCAGGCCATCCCAGACGAGTTTTTCTCTTCATCTGAACAGATAAAGTTGCTCACCAGTGGATTCTTTGCAGTGAAAGGGTGCCGTCAGAATGAATTGTTTAAAGATAAAACATCTTAATGATGGATTTCTTTATTACAAACATGCAGCTTCTCACTTCAAGACTTTCATTGATGGACTGGAGTCATGTGAATTACTTGTGGATTATTGTGATGCTTTTATCAGCTGTTTGGACTCTCATTCTGACGGCACCCATTCACTGCAGAAAATCTATTAGTGAGCAAGTGATGTAATGCTAAATTTCTCCAGATCTGTTCAGATGAAGAAAAAAATAAACCCTCATCTACATCTTGAATGGGCTGCATTTTTCTAAACCACTCAAGCAAAAATTCTTGCTTTGGCAGGATTGAGAACGAGGACAACCTCTATCGTCTCCATGTATCAGGATTCAGTGGTACAGTTGAGGACTCGTTTGGTTGGTACCATGACAAGCAAAGCTTCAGCACTCCAGACACAGGTGACATCTGTGCTGAGATATCTCACGGAGGCTGGTGGTACCATCAGTGCTTCTTCGCCAACCTCAATGGAGTGTATTATAAGGTCTTATACAAATGAAGGAAAAATGAAACCATTCCAAGATATAAAATATGAGCCCAACCATCTTAACTGTGTCCTATGTTTATCTTGACCACCAGGGGGGGCGTTACTCTGCCAAAGGGAAGAATCTTCTGGGGCCTGATGGGATTGTGTGGTACTCTTGGAAGGACTCAGATTACTACTCCTTGAAGAAGGTGAGCATGATGATCCGCCCACGGACCTACAGGCCACGCCTCTCCCCATAATAACACAGCTTTAGGACCTGTGTAAAACAATACTGCAGTGACATCATCAGGTCATTGTTGATTCTCCGTGGCTAAGCAGTTACGTAAACCGTGGTTAAAGGGAAAGTCTCATCTGGACATTCAAGACAAAATATCCACATTACTCATTTTGGTCAAATGTGTCTCATAATCTTGGTCTTTGACATACTGAAGCATTCAATGTATTGTAACTAATATAATCAATTTATTATAATAAACATGCATTATTAGGTTATCATGGATAATTTTTGACTTGTACAAAAACAATTGTATTTGATTTGGATAATCATTATTAATTAAATAGAAATAATTCATAACTTAATATAATTTTGATACATATACTTTATGTTAATTGATGTTTCTGTTACATTTCATTGGCTAGAAATACTCAGAGAATGTGTTTTTTAAGATTATTTAAGTGTTTATAAGTCCTGTGACTAGTTGCAACAAAAACCATAAAGGGGTAGTTTACCCAAAAATGAAAATTCATTATTTACTCCTCTTCCATTTGTTCCAAACCTGTATGAGTTTCTGTCTTCTGTTAAATTCAAAAAAGATACTTTGAAGAATGCTGGTAATCAAACAGTTGATGGTAGCCATTGACTTCTATAGTATTTTCTGTACTATAGTCAATATAAGTCAATGGCTACCGTGAAATTATTTGGTTACCAACATTCTTCAAAATATCTTCTTTTGAACAACAACAACAACAAAAAAAAAACTCATACAGATTTGGAACAAGTGGAAACTGAGTAAATGATGGCAGAATTTTTATTTTTGGGTGAACTACTCCTTTAAGAAAACCTTTTTAATTCATTATGTTTTTTTTTTTTTTTAATGAAATGAAATTGATTCTTAATACTTAAATAACTTAATGACTTAATTTAAATGACTTATTAATTAAAAGGATCAAACCAATCTTGATATTAAACAAACAAAAAAGTTTAATAATTGTAAGGGTATTCTCAATAAAAATGTATTATCTTAAGGGGTTTGTTGCAGCCAGTCTCTGTATTTCATGAGAACATTTGTGAAAGCTCTATTAATAGATATCCTTCCACACATGGCAAATGCAAATATGTTTGCTGTTTAAGCCTCAATAATTCTGTGTAATTTAGAGGCAACAGGTGCTCAAACACTCCCAAAATGTACAGCCTTTTAATTCCTAAATGTCTGTTTCACAACATTGTTTACATTTTGTAACTACTTTGAGAATGTATAAAAATGTCTTCGTTTTTGACAAATGTCCTGCTATTTTATCTTTCCATGTTCTACCTCTCTGCTTTAAGCTTCAGACTATTTTACCATGAGATAAACATATCTGCACCATCCATAGAGACTCTTTCTGCCTATCACACACTAGCAGGAAGGGTGGAACAAACCAGCAAATGAACGTGGCACTGGAATGAAAGAGGTTTTGAGGGGCATCACATGATTTGATGATTATTTGCATTACAAAGTCCCAGACAAAATAAGGGACTCCTTATGGTCAAAAATGGAAAAAGTCCAAACTGAAGCTGCCTCAAGATTAAGGGAAGGAAATAGTTTTGGAGGAGAAAGTCTGTTTCTTTGCTTGAGGTCACGCTCACATGAACTCTCACAAACTGAGGTCATCATGCTCATTTCCTCTAAGGCCAGAGATTTGTTTCCTCTTCCAAAGAGAGAAAACTGACCCTGAGCTAGCATAAATACTGGATAATTCTACCATCTTCTCAAAAAGGATATTTTTGTGCTCCTGCTAGAACTGCAAAATCAATTTTGACACAAGGCCAAAAAATGCAGAGCATTCATGGCCATCACAACTCTCCTCACAACTCACGACTTGGAAAGGTATAAAGAAAGATTTATTACACACTGGATGGCTAGTTAAAAACACATTTTATACACTGAGTGTGACAATGAGACATTTTTAGTTTTGTTTTGCATAGAACATTTTACCACAGGTAAAAGACAATGTCCTTATTGCTTTTATCCAATACATACCACTAAATATGTCATATTTAATTTCACATCCTACAAGAAAATAAAATCATGTCAGACAATTTAAGATGTTAATAAACTCATCTGGTTTAGATGGCCCAGTCTAAGTGAACGCGTCCCGGAGAGACCTCAATTTACACAGAGAGAATTAAATGTCTTAAAGGAGTAGTTCACTCATAAATGAAAATTTGCTGAAAATGTACTCACCGTCAGGCCAGGAGATGAGTTTGTTTCTTTATTGGAACAGATTTGGACAAATTTAGCCTTATTATCACTTGTTCACCAATGGATCCTCTGCAGTGGACCCTGAGCTAGCATAAATACTGGATAATTCTACCATCTTCTCAAAAAGGATATTTTTGTGCTCCTGCTAGAACTGCAAAATCAATTTTGACACAAGGCCAAAAAATGCAGAGCATTCATGGCCATCACAACTCTCCTCACAACTCACGACTTGGAAAGGTATAAAGAAAGATTTATTACACACTGGATGGCTAGTTAAAAACACATTTTATACACAGAGTGTGACAATGAGACATTTTTAGTTTTGTTTTGCATAGAACATTTTACCACAGGTAAAAGACAATGTCCTTATTGCTTTTATCCAATACATACCACTAAATATGTCATATTTAATTTCACATCCTACAAGAAAATAAAATCATGTCAGACAATTTAAGACGTTAATAAACTCATTTGGTTTAGATGGCCCAGTCTAAGTGAACGAGTCCCTGAGAGACCTCAATTTACACAGAGAGAATTAAATGTCTTAAAGGAGTAGTTCACTCATAAATGAAAATTTGCTGAAAATGTACTCACCGTCAGGCCAGGAGATGAGTTTGTTTCTTTATTGGAACAGATTTGGACAAATTTAGCCTTATTATCACTTGTTCACCAATGGATCCTCTGCAGTGAATGGGTGCCGTCAGAATAAGAGTCCAAACAGCTGATAAAAACATCACAATAATCCACATCACTCCAGTCCATCAATTAACGTCTAGTGAAGTAAAAGCAAGTGATATACTTTAATGCTATATTTCTCAAAATCTGTTCCGATGAAGAAACAAACTCACCTACATCTTGGATGGCCTGAGGGTGAGCAAATTTTCATTTTTGCATGAACTATTCTTTTAACGTCGGGGAGTGTTACATTAGCTTAAATAACAGTTAAGCTTTGTATTTGACCTGTTTCAGTGAACACAATATTTGGTGAATGCTGATTTGCACATCTAACATAGTTTGTTCCCTTATAACCTATATTTTATATATATGACACAATGCAGCAATACAGAATTTTATGGAAACAAGATGGTTAATTGTGAATTAGCGTTAAAAAAAGCAAAAGCAGCATCCTTTTTTAAAATTCCACAGAACTGACACAATTTGATGAGTATTGCTGTTCAGAGCGAGTCCTCACATGGTGGTATACTGACCAAGCGCTTTCTTCAGCTTTTCAGCAATCTAACCAATGAGAACACACAAGAACGTTACATACATAGTATGTTGCATTACGTATGCCATGTTTATGGTGTCCGTACACACTAGTATCCCATCACTAACCGTTTCATAGAATTTCACCTGTTCCTCCAGGTAGAACTGCACGAGTCTGTTGTAGTCATAGATACGGTTGCTATGGAAGTGATTCATCTCCGCTAGAGAAACAGATGGCAAGTCTAAGATTACACGTGTGTGACAAACACTACAATTAAGCACACAGGTGCACGTATATAAAAGACCACTTTGACAAAGGGTCTTTCACTGATAGACAACACTTTACTAACATACCTTGCAATGCATAAGACATGGTGCTGAGGTTTTTTTCCATGATGAGTTTATCTTGTTGGCTAATCTTATTCATCACCACCAAATGATCAGCCTCTTTTACTTTATCAATGGCAGCCTGAGGAAAAAAAAAATTGTTTAAACATACACATACATACACATAAATAAAACAAAACAAAACAGTAAAACACTAAATGTAGAAAGGCAAAAGGTGAACGGTTTAAACCTTGTGAACTGCTATTGTGTCAGGGAAGCAGCCCAGTAGTCCCTTGTATTCATGGGTTGTTTCCATCAGGAAGTGTAGATCTTTTTTTGGCTGAGAGACAAAGTTTATCTTATTAAAACAAAAGCTTAAACTTGTGGACAATGCTAAAAACAGCAGTCGTGGATGTTGCTATCACTGGGTAGCCTTGTGGTTACAATTCTATCAAACTGTGGAAATAGCAGCACAGGATGTGAGGAAACATGCTAATGATGAGTGAATGGCACTGGTAGAAGTTCAAGGACTGAACTGTTTGTTGAAGTATTAATTTGAGGAAATACTGTACTTCTGATACCTGTCCTGCAACGATTTCTGCTATTTCCTCATACGTTTTTCCTGTTGCAGTCAATGCTTCTGTCAGAGTGTATTCCCCTTAAAATAACGTACAAGAAAAACACATCAACAAAACATGATTAGATAATCATCAGGTAATCAAAAATATTTTTATATGTAATATTTAAGCTGAGAACATGTCTATGAAAGCATTTTAAAGAACAAAGCTCCAGTTTCCTACTTGGGTATGCACTAGTGTTGAAAACTGATGAAAGGTTCTGAAATGCTTTTCCAATCTGCCGATACTCCTTCTGTAATGCTGTTGGTTTAAAAGCAGAAGATTTTTACTATGAACAAATCACAAGATGGTAACAGTAATGAAATAATCCACATATACCATTTGACTGCACTTGATAATATACTGTACTTGAAAATATAGCATTTGAACTCACGGCCTGTACATCTCTTCCAGTGAAGATGCCCAACAGTCAGTAGTTCTTTAACACTGTTGTCCATAGATCTAGTAAACTGGCTGTACATTTCATATTTCTGCTCCCTACAATCACATCGAATAAGACAATTGTTTTATTATACAAATATATTACATTATAATAATATAATATAATATAATATAATACATAATTTGGGGTTGGTAAGACTTTATGTTTAGGAAAGAAGTCTCTTATACTCAAAATAATAGTTGTTTTCTTTTTTAATATATTTTGAAGTACAAATAATTCCTGTGATGTCGCATGATTCTTCAGAAATCATTCTAATATGCTGTAACAGTTGTGTTACTTAATATTTTTGTTGAAATGATACATTTTTTTCAGGATTCTTAGATAATTAGAAAGGTCAAAAGAGCAGCATTTTTGTAAAATAGAATTTTCTTGTTAATATAACATAATAGTCTTTACTGTAACTTTCGACCAATTTAATGCTGAATAAACTTATCAATTACTTTCAAAAAGAAAAATTTTACTGACCCCAAACGTTTGAATGGCAGTATATATATAATATTTTATATATATATATATTTATATATAATTATTAATTAATATTAATCATAATTTGTAATTATTACAACAATTTTAAATGACTATTAATATTAAAATATTATATAAATAATAGACAATCATTTTATATAATTAAAAACTATATATTAAAAATGTATTGAATTAATTTTAGGATAAAGTTATCAAAGGAGTTAAATATAGTCTCACACTTGAGCAGGATCTAACTCTGGGAGCTCTGGATCTATGTTGGAGAAGATTTTCACTCCCACTATTTCATCTTTTTCTGCTTTCCGCTTCCCTAGTTTCCACTCCTAGTAGAAACAACAGATAAAACATAACTTACAAGACTCCCGAACTGCTATGCTGAACTTAACTATTCACTAGTCAAAGTTAATATATAACACTGTAAAACACTTCTTAAGGATGTGATCTCAATATCAGCAAACAGATGGCAATACTCAACAGAAGAGCTCTTCAGCTGTTTATATATATTATTTGACTATGCATTTGCACCAGTATATTAAACTACATGTCTATTACTAATATAAATATTTGAACAAACGCACCTTCTCGTCTCTGTAGTTAAGGAAGAGCTGGAAAACGTCACTGTTTGAGATCACCGGATGCCGACACATGCGGGACATCCAGCCCTGCAGGCGTTCCATGCGCATTTTGATAAATTCCTCTTCAAATCGGCCTAAAGAGAAACAGAAGACAGATGCTAGGAAGTCTACCAGCCAAAAACACTTTTTGGTGATTATGAAAAAACTAAATGTCAAGGTGGTGCAAGAAGCTTTTCTAATCACTATTACTTTTTTGCTTTATTTACCTGTAACTTGTTTGTCAGGTAGACATGGGATTGGCAGAGCACAGGCAAACTTCTCCACAAGCCTCTCATATAACCAGTCAAAGTGTTTGTATCTGTGATTGACTGGTCTGTTTGTAGTCTGAAAAAAAAAATAGTTAAACATAAAAATAAACCAAGACTTGTTAGCAAAAAATTACAGTAAGTCAATATTATTCAAGTAGTCTTGAGAAGTGCTTCAAAGGAACTTACATTAGGTGTGATCTGGTATTCAATGTAGCTCTTCAGGCCGTACATTTTTGACCCCTTTTTGGGATCAGCCACAACACAATCTAACTGAATTTGTGGATACAACCATACTGGACCTACCTCGCCTGTCTGCAAAATAAACATTCATCCTGTTAATGTATCCATTCACCATACCACTTAAAACAAACCCAAGGTTGTTTGATTATTCTTTTATCCAGAACAACTATCTAACTATCTAATCAATCTTGATGCATGGGATCAAATCACATGACGAAGTCAAATAACTTACATAAATTGGCAGTCTGTCATCTCCTTTAGATATGTGCTTGGTAAGCAGATACACTTCTGGATTTGGAGTCTTAGAGAACCCTGGAAACCTATGGGAAAAGATGGCTTTGACATTTGTAAAGTTTATTTTATTAATGAAATATTAATATTGGTAGTTGTCAAAAGTAAAACATTACTTGTTGAGGGATAATTTCATAGTAGAGTGAGCCCCGCCCCGCTGCATCGTTCCACCCTCGTCCGCCTGTGAGCCTCCATAGCCGCCTGTCGACTTGCCATCATCGGAATCATCGTCCCATTCCTCATCGAAGGAATAGACAGAACCTACAGCCATGTGACACAAAATCACCATCACAGAGAGTAATAGAATAATAGACTGAAAAACTAAACTTCTGTGTATATCACAGTTTTTACACATCATAAAGAAATGCATTTAAATTTTTCAAAAGTATTAACATAACTAACATCCTTTTTCCTATTTACATTAATATTTCCTCCTTATACAAGGAGGCCATACTAGAGAACCTTTGCGTTCCAAGAT